GAGAGAAACAGCCGTTATTAGACTTGCAGTTCCTTCGGAAGTGCCCATGATAAGGACCGAGTGCATTTCCTGCAGCTTTCTCTGCAGATGTGCTCCTCACCTTGAAATCCTCCTTGTTGGTTCCCAGCTCCTCACCGTGGCCTGTGCTCTCTGTTTCAGGCTGAGAACAAGGGGAAGCCCCTGCTGGACCATGAGGTGGCACCTGTGAATGTTCCAGCTATTGCTGCTGCCCATGCTATTAAGAGACACGTTGCCCAGGCAGCGGATGAACTCTCCTTTGAGGTAAGCAGTTCAAGGCGTTCCTTGTTGCTCAATTTTACAATGGCAAATGCCTTCAGAGCTGCACTGGTGCAAGTGCTCTCGTGCTCGGTGATGTTTGGCAGTGCAGAAGAATGCAGTCATTTGAGCTGTGCTTTCCTCCCAGCCGTGCTGAAGCTGGGATTGATGTTGCAATCTCTTGCAGGTCGGAGACATCATCTGTGTCATCGACATGCCACCAAAGGAGCTGAACCCCTGGTGGAGAGGCAAGCTCGGCTTCCAGGTAGGCACAAGCTTCAGACTGGAGAGTGCAACTTCAGTAGAGGCAGGAATCTCAGCTTAGAGCTGCTCTGCCTGCATAGGATGCCTAAAGGACATAAACAGTTTCCCTGTGTTGGTGTCAGAGGACCTTGCCCTTGGCTGCTAATGTTGAAAAATTGTTACCTTTATGCTGTGAACTATGGCCATTTTCTGCTGGATAGTCTTATGGAACGTCAGGCAAGCACGTTCCGAGGGAAATGTTATGTGGCTTTAGGTTTAACAGTTCAGATCTGAGAAGTGCTGCATGCAATAGTTGGCCTCTCTTCTTGTTACAGGTTGGATTTTTCCCAGGGGAGTGTGTGGAACTGATTAATAAGGACATTCCTGAGGCACTCATCAATTCTGTGCCAAAGCCAGGTATGGATGTTACATTTGATGGTGTCGGGAAGCAAAAGGGAGTCTTTTTTTGGGGTGGCTCAGTGTTTTATACCTCCTTTATCCATCCCACATTGTCATCTGGATTGATGATCTTTCATGCATACCATGGGGAGAAGATTTGGCCCAATCTTCCTGTGTTTATGATTGGAC